CCAAATGGGGCAGAGCTTTCAGGAGCACATTGGTCTGGCCCTCACCCTCCTTCTGCTGCCTGTGGGGGCTGCAGCGACCAGAGAAGATCATCACAACTGCTATGGGGCTCCAGGTCTCCCAGGCATGCCGGGCATGCCGGGCAAGGATGGCCGGGATGGGCTGAAGGGAGCCAAAGGCGAGCCAGGTGAGTGAGCGAGGAGGGGAATCGTGTTAACGTGGGGGGCTGTTCATCTGCTGGGGTTGCGGGCCCCAGCGTGGGCCATGGAGAGCAGCATCCTGGCAGCTGGATCTGTGCTGTGGGCAGCCTCTGCTCAGGGCGGTTTGAACAGGGCAGCCAGAAACTCCAAGCTGCTCTGCTGGTTCCTGAGCATTGATGCTTTCCTGGGGCTGGAGAGCAGGTGGGGGAGAGGAACATTCCCTATCTCAGAGAAGGGGGTGCAGGGCCCTCTCCCCACATGCTGTCTGACTCCTCTCCACCCCACAGGCATCCCAGCCATTTCTCGTGCTGAAGGACCCAAGGGTATGAAAGGGGAACCAGGCAGTCCCGGCTTGCCAGGCAAGACCGGCCCCATCGGTCCACCTGGTCCTCGTGGAGACAGGGGCGGGATGGGCCCTCCTGGCCAGCCGGGAATGCCCGGCAGCTACAAGCAGAAGCACCAGTCGGCATTTTCAGTGTCCAGACAGACTGACGTGTACCCCCTGAAGAACGTCCCCGTGGTGTTCAACCACGCCATCACCAACACGAACAACGACTACAACACCACCACGGGCAAGTTCACCTGCAAGCTGTCCGGCCTCTACTACTTCGTCTTCCACACCTCACTGACAGCCAACCTCTGTGTCTTGCTGTACAAGAACACAAAGAAGGTGGCCAGCTTCTGTGACCACAAGACCAACACCGTGCAGGTCAGCTCGGGTGGGATCCTCCTCCATCTGGTAGCTGGGGACCAGGCCTGGCTGGAGGTGAATGATTACAACGGCATGCTGGGCATCAGTGGCTTTGACAGCATCTTCTCGGGCTTCTTGCTCTTCCCGGACTAGAGGACAGCTATATCCCACCATAGTGTGCTGAGCTCTTCTCCTTGCCATGCAAATGCTGTCACTCACCGCCTGGTCTCTGCTAACTCCTCACCACTGCAAAGTTTGCCTGCTAGGCTGGAAGATCCAACAAGGGTGCCCAATAACCAGGCTAGGGAGGGAGAGGGCTGAATACAGAGAATATTTGGCTGCCTTTGTGCCCATGGGGACACTGCGAAACCCCTGAGGACCTGCTGGCCCTGCCAAGTGACCTGGAGCAGACTGGCAGCAGGTGCTTTGCCATGACCTGGCTATGGAAAGAATCAATAAACTTCCTCCCGGTGTGTCTGGCCCAGCATTTGTTTTTTTTTAACTTCACATCTTGGCTTTCTGCAGGCAAAGCCCATGCATGACTGGAAGGCTGTGGGGTGCAATGTGTGCATGTATATGTGAGTGCATGAGAGAGATCTGGGTGTCCAGGCTGTCCTCAGGGAGGGAAAGACACTGTATGAAACCTCAATTTTGCTCTGCTGATGTGGGACACGATTCCTGTGACCATAGTCTCAGCTTTTGGGATGCCCAAGGTTCTTGGTGACAGGGCTGCTGGATTTCCCCTTCCTGCCCAAGTGCGTGCAATTTTCTTACAGGCCACAAACCACACAGCAAAGCCCACAGCCAAGCACGGGCAAATGGGACATCCCCAGTCTCACCACTGTCCACCCCACTGTTTTCAGAGCACACGTGAAGGCCTCTGCCACCCCAGATGATGCAGTGTAAGGCACCAGAGTCTTATCTGGGGACAAACTTTTTGCTGCCAACTCAGAACAAGCAGTGAAATGTGCCTGAGCTGTATGGTGCTGGGGTTAGCAGGAACTCAGCACTGGGAGTGCAAATGTGGAGACAGGACAAACCTGAGAGACCTATGCTAGGTTGAGCAGGATGTCCACGACATCCAAGCAGAGGGTGCTCAGCTCTTGGCTGCTGGGGGCTAGTGGATATGGCCTTGGGACATGGCTCTTCTTTGGTGTCTCGAGTTGCCACCTCCAGTGAGCACCCAGTGCTGCAGTGAGCTGCCTAGAGATGAGATGAGCCACATGCAAAGACCTGGCTCAGCTGTGCCATGAACAGCTAAATATTCCAGCTGGGAACATTTAGGAGAGCCAGGGGGCCTGATTAAAGTTGATGGGTGCTGGCAACATGTTGCATCTTCTGAAACTGCTGGCACCTCCCAAACAGAGCCAGATAGATGTGGAGAAGCCTGAAGGATGCTCACAAAATCCCTTTATAAATCTCCAGAACTCCCCTGAGAACTGCTGTCATTGAGACTTGATCTGCGACAGAGACAAGTGAAAGGGGCTGAACTGCGAAACTGAGGTAGCAAAGGAAGAGTAAGTGAGGTAGCAAAAGAGGAGTAAGTGAGGTAGCAAAGGAGGAGTAAGTGAGGTAGCAAAGCAGGAGTATGTTTTCCACCATGGTGATGGCCTGATTCTGCACAATTTCACCACCACAAATGCATGATACTCAAGAGAAATGGCCTGGATTTATGCAGGTTCCACACAGATGAAGTAAAGGACCTCTTGAAGGACTACCCACAACTTACCTTGACCTCACAGCAAGTGTTCCCCATAGCAAGCGTGATATCAAACAGGCCCCAGAAGTCCTGCATGCCTGAAAGGCCCCAGGGTGTTGTCTGAGGACTTCATGTTCTGCTGAGCTAGCAGGTAGCACTTGTAGGGGATATGAAAGTGCCAGTGAAGAAAGCATGGGAGCTAAAGAAAATTAAAAAAAAAAAAAAAAAAAGGATGTGGCCAGTTCCTTTCACAACACTTTCTTTGCGTCAAACTTCTGCTTCCCTCCAGAGCCATTTCCAAGCAGGACTCTGGTGTGCCCTGGTCCATCTCGCACTTCGTGCTGCAAGCAGCTCAAGGTAAGAGTGACCTACCTGTAAGGCTGAGAGCCAGCAGGAGCCCAGCGGCACCAGGAACGCAGCCATCCTATGCACGGGGCTGCTGGAGGAGCAACAAACACGTTGCTGTGGCCTGGGGCAGAAAAGAAGGGGCTGCTGGAGCTGGAGATGATGGAGATCCCTATCTGGGACACCAGCTCCATTGGGAAGAAGGGAAGAGGGAAAGGGAAGAGAACAAGGCCCAGTGGCTCTCAGGGAAGGTTTTGGTCCTACATGTGATGGTCCTAGGGTGGGCTGGAGAATTCCTGAGCCCACAGGGAGCCCTTAGGACTCAGCGAGGGGTCCTGCAGCCCCTTCCTCCTGCAGCCCAACGCAGCAAGTACACCCTCCTGCTTCCCTGCTGCTGCTGACATGGCAGCACTTAATACTCGTGCAGCTGAGGCTTTGGGCACTTGCACACTATAATATAAGAGTTTGAAGGGACTTGTTCCTCCCCAGGGCAAAGGCTTTCCAATGCCCAAAGGGTCTGGTCCCCCCATAGCCAGGAGCAGGGTGGATTTGGTCCACAGTAGGGTGTTTTTCCTGCCTGCCAGGAGGTTGTTCCTGGGTGTTGTTCCCGAGAGCCGTGCAGAGTGGTTGCTCCATCCCTCCCATGGCTGAAGGACCTGCTGCCCTATAGTGCCTTTCTCTGCTCCAGGAGGGAAGGCGAGATGCGGAGCGTGGCCGTGATGCTCCTCTGCCTGGCTGGCGGGCAGCTCACAAGCGCCACAATCTGCAAGACCTACGGCACCATCCCGGGCATCCCTGGGTCACCAGGGAAGCCTGGCAGCAACGGCCTGGATGGAGAGAATGGCCAAAAAGGGGAGCGAGGTAAGGAGGGGAATGCGCGGAGACTGCAGGGTCACAGAGCTCCACCACGCTGCATGTAAACACTGTTCCTCCTGTTTTCCAGGTCCCCCTGGCCATGTGGAGGATGAAGGAGAGATTGGGGAAAAGGGAGAGCCAGGAGCTCCAGGGTACCCTGGGAAGGTCGGCCCCAAGGGCCCCATGGGTTCAAAGGGGGCTCCGGGTCTCAGGGGTCCCCCCGGGCCTCAGGGAGACTTCGGTGACCACAAGAGCACCCTGAAATCTGCCTTCTCAGCTGCCAGGACGGTCAGCATCCTGCCGCGGCGGGAGCAGCCCATCCGCTTCGACCGCATCATTACCAACGTGAACAACAACTACGAGAACCGCTACGGTCGCTTCACCTGCCGCATCCCAGGCATCTACTACTTCACCTACCATGTCACATCCAAAGGCAACCTGTGCATCAACATAAAGAAGGGCCGGGGTGGCAGCAGGGGTGACAAGGTGGTGACTTTCTGTGACTTCGTGCAAAGCAGCTACCAAGTCACCACGGGCGGCGTGGTGCTCAAGTTGGCAGCGGAAGAGTCCGTCTGGCTGGAGCCCACAGAGAAGAACTCCGTCGTGGGTGTCGAAGGGGCTGACAGCATCTTCTCCGGCTTCCTGATCTTCCCCGATGCTTAGTCTGCTGCGGACACCACCTGCACCCCCTCCGCTGCCTCTTCCCTGCAGCCGGCCTCTGCCAAGGTCTTCCTTGGAAATAACTCTGCTCCGGACACGATGCCCTGAGTTTCTTGGCCAGGGTCAGGAAATGACGGCTCCTTATGCTGCTGGTTGCTTCCTGCCCACGGTTTGCCTCTGTTTCGCCATCTCAGAGCCTGGTCCTGGAGCTTTCCCAGCTCTTGGGTATTTTTATGGAGGAGGGATGGGAGAGATCTCACTGTGTACCCAAGCCTGCTGGCCCAAAGACTGAAGCAGTAATGGTCGGACCAAGTGCAGCAAGGAGCAAGTGTGAAGGGATCATAGACCTTTTGCCAGGCCAGGACAGAGCCAAGCCTGGCAAGCAGCAGGTCCTCTGCTACAACTGGACACTTTGATACCCTCACTACCCGAGGAACATGCAGAACTCCAGGCTAATCATCACCTCCCGGGACACTGCTTCTCTTTCTACACCAGGGTGCAGACCAGGCTCAATAAATGCTCTTCCTGATACAGACCACCCTGATTAAACGCATCTCCTTATAGAGCCACGCAGAGAAAGTCCGCAAAAGAAAGGAAACCTGGTCTCTAGCAGTGGGGACACAGCGGGAAAACTGGGGACACGGGTTACTCGAGGCCTATGGGGAGTCACTGGAGAGGGTGAGGGGCTACAGAGCCTGCTAGGGTTGGGGGACACCTCCTCTGTCCTAGCCCTTGCGGGGGGCGACAACAACCTCCCAGCTCAGCCAAACTCCTCCCCAGAGGTGGCTTTGTCACCAGCAGAGCTGGCAGTCCCCGGGGTCTCCAGGGGTGCTGGGACACCTCGCACCGGTGTGGCCAGCACCGTGACGCTGGTGGCTCCAGCTCGAGCCCGGGATGCTGCACCGGCAGGTGGCACTGGAGACTGATGCTCCGTGTGGAGCATCCCTGTCCGCAGCCCAGGAGAACACGAGCTTGTAGCATCCCAGCCCGGAGAAACAAGGTGCCAGGAACCTACTGACATTTAAGAAAGATGAATGTAAAGCCCGTCGCCTTTGTAGGACAACGCTACATAGCAGGAGAGGTTGGAGGCAGAAAGCAGCTCTGCAGGCAAAGACCAGGGTTGAGCAAGCTGAACATGAAGCTTTCTGTGGGTCCTCTTGATATAATCTATCTGGACTTTTGCAAAGGTCTTTGTCAGGGCACCTCAGCAAAGGAACTTATTTTTTCCTACTAAAATTAATGTCTGAGCTAGCAGCAGCCTCAGTCTGAGGATTTCTAGGCTCTGGGTTGGAGGCTGAAGGCCCTCAATGAGCAGAGATGCCCAGCCAGGTACCCTGACCCACAGACACCAGGGCACAGTCTTCAGTGACACTAAAGACAGCGAGCAGGACGCTTGTTTTCTTGGGATCCTCCCCAGAACAAGGAAATAGTTTGGCCCAAAGCTCACTAGAAGCAAAGACTTTCAATATTCATAGACAGCAGATAGGATTTGAAATAAAACCTTCTTATTTCAAGGCACATAGCAGCAGAAATCAGCAAGAATACTGCAGGCTGTTGTTGTTTTCCTGCAACATCCTGTTGGGGTTTGGGGTTTTTTTCTCTGTGCAGAAGCTCCAGCCCAGGCCTCAGGCAGGACCTGGTGCGACGCAGCATGCTAGCGCCTATCAATATTCATGCAAAGTGAGGCTTAAGCAGAGAGATCAAAGCACATCGCAGAGCGGGTAGTTAGTGCTGGAAGGAACTTCTGGTGGCTACGTGGTCCCCCCTCTCCCGCAAATGCTCCTCTGCTTCCCAAGCTCTTCTCCCAGGCCATAGACAGGCGGATGTTTGTCCCCAGCAGCACCTTCCTGAGCTGCCCCCGAGCATCTCTTCACCATCAACATTCCTGACTGACAATGGTCACCCCAACACACACACAGGCCCCATCCCCATGTGCCATGGGGTGGCTCATTTTGGGGTGCATGTCCTGAGCAGGGAGCTTCACTCAGCATTGGCCTGGAGCCACCTGGATCAGCCTCTCTTCCGCCTCAAGCTCCACCGGAATTCCCACTTTTCCCACCTACTTTGTGCCCGGGCTCGGAGTTGCAGATGCTCCGCTCAGCCCTGGCCACCCATGGGTTAAATCCCAGCCCTTCTTGCTGCTCTGCCTCCTTATGAGGAACAGCCTTCGCCAGGGCTGCAGAAAGGCTCTTTCTTTCCCCAGCAGATCTCCGGGAATGAAAAGTCTGTGTTCCAGATATTAAATTACTCATAAAATAGTTGGCCTGTCCTCCAATTTAAAGCAGCAACGTTCGGAAAGCAAACCAGATTTCAGCCGGAATTAGCTTCAAACGGAGCATTCAGGGCACTCGTGCTGGGAAGGGAATGCGGGAGGGGAAGGAGCAGCCGAGCTGGGCTGCGGGAGCATCCCGTGCGATGCCGGCACTGGGTGCAAGGGTGTACCTGGCTCTCCGGAGACGGGTACCGGGAAAAGGGGAGAAGATGCAGCCCCAGCAGCCCCGCTGAGGCGTTGGCAGCTTGCAGAGAGCCGCTTGTCCCCTCGCTCTGCAACAGCCACCAGTGACCTACAATACGGCCGGGAGCGGGTTTCCATGGGGACGAGCCGGGATACGGGAGCGCGGCCTGTGCTCGGCTATGGGCACAGCTTTCCTCCACGTCGGGCCCGGCTCTTTCCGCTCCGTTTCTCTCTCCGCAAAGGAGCGGCGTCTCCTGGCAGCAGGAGGAGCAGGAAACGGGAACGGGATGCGGGAAGATCTGAGGAAGAGCAAAGCACGGTCCTGCTTGCATCCTTAACCCCTTGGGGGATGCCCCCAGATCCGATTTGCCCCTGCGGATACACACACGGGGACGAGATGCTGCATGGGGGGCCACCGAGATGGCACCACAAGCCCTGTCCCCATCACATATGCATCCACAGCACAAATCCAGGGGCAAGCGCTCGTGCAAATCAGCACGCAGAGCACGCAGCAGCCACAGGCACCGAACGCAAACCACGTGTGCTCCTGCGCACCGGGCGAGGGGAGCACGCGGGCGGCAGGAGCCCGGCGTTGCTTGCAGCACCCTCCCATTGCCCTTCCACCTTGCATTTACCTGCAAAGGAGCCCTGGTTGTGCCAAAGCAAGCTAGGAACGCGCAGCACAGCGAGACGCCGCCCTGCGCGGCCTCGCACGGGCTGCAAGGCCGCAGGAGGGTCTCCGGGGGGAAACGTGCATGGACACATACCTGAAATACCCATCTGGCTTTTTAAAGGGGAATTATCTGCAAGTCTGCAACACTGGCCGACTCGCAAAAAAGCCCGGGCTGGACTCCTGGAGCCTGCAAAGCAGCTTCCCAGCAGGCGCGCGGGCTGGGAAAGCAGCTCCAGGCTCAACGCTGCTGCCCGGCGCTCCCTCCTGTCCCCAGGACTTGCCAGGAGCGCTTTTGTCTGCAGATGTTGGCATGTGCAGTCACCAAGGCTACGGCGGCAGCAGCAGGTCACCCAGGCGCGGCCCCGGGGCGGCCCCGGGGGCGGGCGACCACGTTGAAATCCCAGCATCACCCAGGAAATGTCACCCCTGCTAAAGCAGCTCCAGGGCTCACGCCTGACCTGGGGCATCTGGCCTGCAATTACAGAGCGCAGGAGCAGGACCTGTAGGTGCAAGACCTGGCTGGGTGCAAGATTTAGGAGGCTGCAGCTGGGAGCCATCCTGGAGCTCGTCCTCCTCCATGAGGCCCTTTCCCATGTCCCTGCGGATGGTGGTGACCAAAGGGACAAACTCCTTGGTTTTGAGCATCAACAGCACTCAAAGAAGCCCCATGTCCTCCTCTTGTATCTGGAGCAGGGCCACACGTGACCTGTCCTCCAGGTGATGGAGATTCTCATCACCCTACAACTCCCTGGCATACTCATGGGGTTCTGCTCATCCCCCATTTCCCTTTTTCTTGGCTTTTCCTTTTTTCCCCTTGCAAAACACACCGCAGGGATGCCAGGAACACGGTCTGAATGCTGTGCATCCGTGACCCCAAGGACCCGCAGCAGAGAATCCAAGCAACCTGAGCTCTGGTGGGCAGAAGCACGACCCATTTATTATTAACGCCTTTTAGTGTTTGTGATCGGAGATTCAATGTATTTAATTTTTAAAGACAGCTGGTGTTGTTTGGGGATTTGTTTATACATATGTATGTATATAAATATATATATATTTTTCCCCTGGCAGAATTAAAACGCAGGTGGTTTCGAGTAGCCACCGCTTTCCGAAGTCACGTTTTGCCTTAAATTCCCATGGTCTTTCCTTGACCCAAGCCTTCCTCTAATATCACTCGTGTGCAGGAGTGCTCGGTGGGCTGGTTCAAATGTCACAGGTGACCCCTTGCCCAGGTTTTCTTCAGCAATTTGCAGCCCTGCAGAATCCACCTTCAATCACGTTAAGGAGGTTCAGCTGCACATCTTGTGGGGCAGCTACTTAGCACCATCTCTTGACACAGCTGGGAGTTTTGGTGGAGGTTGCAACTGATCATCATCCTCTTCTTCAACTTCATGTCCATCTTTCCCATGTCTGCATTCCCACAGCCAAGCAGAAAGCATCTGCAGATGTGTCCTCCCTGGGGTGCTTCTTCTCTGTCCAGGTGACCTTCTCCACCAGCAGGTAGGGCTTAAAGAGGAGGTTTAGGGTTAATAGTTGCTTATGGCCTTGACCATTGGAGCTGGCAAATCAGCACACGATGCTGAAGTTTTTTCCCCAAAACTTTGTATCTTTTCTGTTCTGAAAGGCCTTTTCTCACATTGCTCCTGGCAGGGGTGTCTCAAAATGAAAAGAAATGATGTTCTGAAGAGCCGACTATTTGCAAGGTCCAGAGAACATTTTGCTTGGCTGGGTGGAAGCAGGGCAGCCCATCATTTAAAGCATCTGAAGAAAAACATCTTTCAGAAACTGCATTTCCTAAGAGGAGCTCTTTAAAACTAAACTTTGGTCTGAACAAATGGGGATTTCACCACAAAGAAAATTTTGTCCTACAGCCAGAGGATGAAGGATGCTGGCTTCAAGTATTCACCGACAATGAATCAGATCCCCCAAATACTGAGGGCTTTTTGGTCTGGTTTCCTAAAAGGCTGTGGCTTACGCAATTGCATCTGCTTGTGACATGGGAGCTGAGCTTAGCATCACCAAAAAAATAAAAAATAAAAAGAGGTTTTAAACTTTTTAACTCTCTCTGTCACCTGAGAGCGTGTGAGTCTACAAGCCCATATGAGCCAGGTTAGATGGACACACGGTGTCACTAGCTTCCAACAAGGTTGCTGGATGGGGGATACTAAAAAGATGAGAGAGGCTGTGGGGACACCCAGGATTGAGTATTATCAGACACCAGGGAGTCTGCACAGGTGATGGGAGGATGCCCAAGGTGAGCCCGGCCAGGATGAACACGCTTAGAGAGGACCTCATCATGGGTGAGGGATCTTTGCCAGCACCTTTAGAGTCCCCCTGCCACCACAGATGCCCCTCGCTGCTGCAAACACTGCTGCTTTGGGAGCTGTGTGACGTGTGCTCCACCTGATCAGAAGTTCTCCTGACCTCTGTGCCACTTAACTCCTATTGAGACCAGCTGGCAAGCCAGGACATGCCGGAGCACGTTGCGGAACAAGGACTGCAGATAGGTTTGCACCTACTTCCATTTCCAACCCTGACGTGTTCTTTGGGGTGGCCTTGGGGGCAGCACGCATTTCGGGGTGAATTGCTTGGCACTTAGGAGCTCCTGGGAGCTATTGTGCTGCAAAGGGCAAAAACGTCACCGCGGGGGATGGCTGCGCTCTGGCCAGCAAAACCCAGCCGACATTTTCTTTTCTTCCCGAGCTTTACCACTAGATGTCATTGGAAAAGCGATGTTGCCGGCCTGGTCGGGATCACCCCGTAGGGTTTCGGCAGCAGGGGCAGCCCTCCTGCACATGCTCCGCTTGGTGCAGGACCATGGAGGCTTCCCAGCTTCAATGGCTTTGTCTGGGGTAGGGGAAAGAAAAAAAAAGATGCGCTGGGCATTCAGGATTCAGTAACATTCAAATGCAATGGAAACCTTTTTATTATTATTATTATTATTATTATTATTATTATTATTATTATTATTATTCGCAGCCCTGGGTTAAGCAGCCCGCACGGCCCTCCTGGGAGGGAGTCGCACGTCACCCTTTCTCAAGGGGGGCGAGATGCCGTCACGCGGGGGCCCTGGGCACCTACAGTAGGACAGTCCCCTCCATCCAGGGGGACAAATGAGGCCTTTCTGGGCACATTCTTTTCTCCGGGAGCGGGCGGTGATGCGGAGG